CTAAAAGATTTCTGTGTTAAAATAGACATTAATTTTAGCCTTTTAAAATAGAAATTACCAATAAAATTAATTGACTTGATTTTCTCAGCAGATAATGTGTCTGAACAGCCAGTTGTGTCTGTTCAGTTCCGCTACGTTGACTATGTACAGAGTAAGTAACCTGGACTACAGTATATATCGTGATTTTTCAAGGGAGATTTACTGGATAATATTTCTACCATGTAAAATTCAGAGGTTGCTATCCCTCTCACTTGCTGTAAAGTTTAAAGTTTCCGGAAGTTGGGGATAGGGCCTTAGCAAACCATCCCTCTCACTTGCTGTAAAATTCAAGGTTTTCAGAGGTTGGGGATGGGCCTTGGCAAACCATCCCTCTCACTTATTGTAAAATTCAAATTTTCAGAGGTTGGGGATGGACCTTAGCTAACCATCCCTCTGACTTGCTGTAAAATTGAAGGTTTTCGGGGGTTGGGGATAGGGCCTTAGCTAACTATCCCTCTCCTCTGACTTGCTGTAAAATTCAAGGTTTTCGAAGGTTAGGGAAGGGCCTTAGCAAACTGACTATTTACAGATTATATATCTATAGTGTTAATTCTTGCAAAAGTTTGAATAGAAATGGTCTAAGAATTTATAAAAAAAAAAAATATCCAGAAAATCTCCCTAGTCCAGGCAGATATATAAATTGACCTTGAATATCAACTTTTTAAACTTAAATATCTTAATGTTTAGTAAGCCACCACAATTAAGATTTATGTCACAAAAAATCGAGGATATAATAAAGAGACTAAATAAATCTTAACCTTGATTATCGTGCATCTACTACAGTGGGGTCAGGATCACCCAGACTTAATTTTGACCATAAGGTTTTATTGGAGGGCGTTATCCCCTTGTGTCAGGATCACCAAGACTTAATTTTGACCAATGTTTTTTTTTTTTTTTTTTGTTTTTTTTTTTTAAGGTGTTATCTCCATGGGTCAGGATCAGCAATACTGAATTTTGACCCAGAATTTTTGCCCTTTAAACTCAATAAGATTTCTCATTAGCTTTTGTTGATGCTCAACAAATATACTTGACTTAGTGGAAATTAGATACTGAACTCTATTTTTTTTGTCATGGAGATTTAGAAATTATTAATCAGATTTAGTAGAATTTGAAATTCTGCCGGTGCTATAAGCTACAGTGTTTGTAAAAGGATTTATCTGTGGTTATTTAATATTTTTAAATGAATTAATGTTTGTTTCTTGTAAGAATATTATCCGTTATTTAAATAGAATTTAGAGATGTTTATTTTTGGATCAAATAATCAAATTAGTGAAACGTAAAATTACTTCAAAAGTATTCTGTGATTTTAAGCTTGTATTGTATTCCACTCTAAGCCTATTATTTGCATCAATTTTAAATTAACATCAAATTGTTTCCTTGTTATCTTTTGATATTTTGTCAGTCGTGATTTTAGTCAGACGAAATAAGCGTTTGTAGAGTGTCTTCCTATAATCCAGCATACATAAAACAAATGCATTATTTAGATTAAAATCACATATAAGCTTGTTTGTATAGATATTCGTATAAGTATACTTCCTCATAGAAGTTTGTTAGACAAAAAAAGAAATAATTTTACAAGAAAAAATGTTTTTGTACCAGGAAAGAATTTTCCAAAAATTTATTGTATGAGGCAACAGATTAGTAATATCCTAAAGCAATTAAATTTTATTCTCAAATAGATAACTATGAATAATATGACCAGATAGTATTTCATACAGCCATTCACACAATATTAAGGGGTAGACTTACACCCTAGATGGATTATCCATAGCCCATTCAGACGCTTAAGTTGAACTGGTTTAAAAACACTTGGGATCGTTAAACCAGTTTAACTTAAGCGTCTGAACGTGAATGTGGGGCAAATAAACCAGTTTAAAAACCTCAGCTCGCGACCTGTCTTCGAGAAGGCTTTTTATTTTAAACTGGGTTGGCTTAAAAACCCTGGCTCCAGCTTGCTTTGAGCATACGCAGTACGCAGTTAGTTACATTCCTGTGAAAATATCGGGGTCAGACAGTGCCAATGTTATCGAAAGCGTGCGAGAACCGAATAAAGAATATGAAGCTACCCATGCATAGTTAACTCTAACCTCCGACCGAAGAGGTCAGAATAATTAAACTGGTTTGGCTTATAGTACGTGTGAACGCAACACGATGCTGTCTTAAAAAAAACAGCGATTATGAACTGGTTTAAAAATAAGCATCTGAACGGGCTATAAGGTAACTTCACAATGGTCAGCTATGACTGAGGTAATAAACAATAGCAGTGTCTGTCATAGCTGACCATTGTGAAGTTACTTTAGATAATCCATCTGTTGTTTCCTCCCACAGCTAAAGACCCCTACGCGTTAGCGAATGATTGAAAATAATATTGTACCACATATTAGTCCCAAAATGACCTAGTTTGTGTCTAGTGGATGTTAAATTACATCTCTCTCTCTATATATATATATATATTCAAAATTAAATAAATTAGTTTTCAAATTTCCTTTAAACAATCAGCCTTGATTAAGTTACTGATTTCGACCTATTTTTTTCTTTTTTTTTTCCTTCTCAAATTATCACATTAAGTCTCAAAATTGGCTGCATAACTGTACATTATGCTAATAAACTACCAGTCTTTCAAATGTCTAACATTAGTATCATAGGTCTGGGTGATCATGGCTATCTAATTATAAATTTCAATACATTCTTAGGTCTCTTTAGAAATAGGATTTATTAAATATCAAGATATTTTTGTTTTCAATTAATGAAACTGATTTGATTGATTGAATCTGAATTAATTTTGGCTTAGTTCAAAAATTTATTCAGCTCTCTGACTAAAGTCTCTTTTTCAAAAAATAAATTGTACCTAACAAAACAAAGTTTGTTTTGACATTTTCATTTTGAAATTGGGTCATTACAGCATTTGTTTAAATGTCAAATCATTTTACTGTTTGTTTGTTTAAAAAATAGTCCATCCTAAAGTTGACACTTGATTTCATCATAACTGTTAGATTCAAGAGACTATATGTTCCGTATCTATATGCCCACATTGAAATCTGGGCCCTGTTTCTCGAAATCTTAAATAAAGATAAAATCCAATTTTAGTAGATACTTCAATTTTGATTGGCTAAACACTAAATTCAATCTAATATTATCCAATCAAATTACTAAAATTTGGATTTTATCTTAGTTAAAATTTCGTGAAACAGGCCCCTGATTGTATATATGGCTGTCAACACTATCTGTTGTCCACTATTGCTTGTGCAGGTCTAAAGGCTAAAGCTGTCATCCAATTGGTTTGAAATTTATACACAGTGTTTATATTAATAAGAAGATGCAGCCTATTTAATTTTAGTGACTTCCAATGATTAATAGGCAGTTCTGACCCTTGATCAAATTAAAAAACCTTGTGGACACTGTACTGTAGAAGCTAAAGTTATCGTCTGATTGATTTGACGCTTATATAATACTCTGATTACCTACAAAAGCAAAAATATGTGAGAACCTTGAAGGATTGCTTGGAGCCCTAACCCTACCCTGTTATTACACACAGAGACTTTGATGCAAAATTATATATTTGTTTTATAGATAAACGATCCTGTATTTGTTTTAACATGGGCTGCAAATTTATATTGTGCTACATAATTTTGTTTTTCTTTTTTCAAGAATCTGAGGATGAACCCTAGTAATATATCGGCTCCACAAACTAATAATGTCCTCCACTGGTTTTAGCATTTTATGACAATACAGTGTCTTTAATGATAAATTATTTCAGAAGGTTGATAAACGCAAGAGACATGTTGGCCAAAAAAACAACCATCTGAACTTTACGATATTTGAACTTTGCATAAGAATAGGAAGGACATATTCAATTATTTAAAAAAGTCCATGAAAATATAAGACAGATTGCCCCCCAAAAAACATTTGAACTTTATGATATCTATGTTTAGATAGGATATATTAAATTATTTCACAAAGTCCATGAAAATAAGACAGATGTCTGAATATTTCGTCACAGCAATCAGATCAGTTGTCATTCGTCTCAATAAATCTGTGTTAAAAACAATATTCTGTGTTTAACTTTTTCGTTGTGTTTCCTCCCTGTTTATAAACCTGCGTTCAACACCAATAATTTTATTGTCTGTAAATTTCCAGATTATATTATTCACCTTTTTAGAGTTCAGTAAATTTTCCCAAATTAACAAAATTAGAATTTCAGATAGAAATTTAATGGTGTTGACTTTATTTTTGGAGATGGAGTTTTTTGGTTGGTTTCATGTGCTGGTTATGTCACTGATATAGGCCATTTTGTTTTACACATAAATACTTATATACATGTGTACACAAGCTATGGTAATCTGAAGTCACTAAATAAGTACATGTGAGAAATAAATAACAAAAAGTATTCTAATAATACCTGGGTAGAGATTTATTATTCTTAATATGTTCATCTGTAGAGGATTCCATAACATTGGTACAGCGTAATCAAAAGATCTCCAAGCATAGAATGATTTGGTTACCAAATAAATGTTGTTGAAAAAAAAGGATTCATCTGCTATCGAGTGGGGAGAGTCCCCAATATAGTTGTATGGTGACAGAAATAACATTGATGAGGAGGTTATTACAGGCCATGAGACCTTATCTTCAGAAAATAACATCTCCAAAATAAAGTATTATACCCTGTGTTTAGTTTAGTTTTGACAATTCTAGACAATTCCAGACCATTTATTTCTTTTTATGTATATAACTCTTTAGTTATAAATCTTTTCTCTCTTGTTTCAATTCCAATTAAATAGCATTTTAATTTTCAGTGTTTGTACGTGAATTTTATTTTTATCAGTGTATTTGTAATCTCAGTTCATGTGGTGTTTCATTTGTATCTTTATCCCCGCACCTTTCATCTTGGATCAGGACCAAAAATGGTTCAGATTAAAGGATTCCGAGTAACAAATCATAATTTATTTATTTATTTCTTGCAGGTCCACCTCGAATCACCCAACAGCCAAAAAATCAAAAAGTTGCAGAAGATGAAACAGTGTCGTTTTTCTGCAAAGCTTCCGGTAATCCCGCCCCTTCATTCCATTGGGAAAAAGGAAATAGAAAAATAAATCCACGAAGAAATAGATATATTGTTGAAGATAGTCCACATTTAACTGTTTTAAGGATAGCTCCTGTTAAATCTAAGAAAGACGATGCAGTGTTTACATGTGTGGCCGATAACGGTCTCGGGGAAGCGAGAGCCAACGCAACGCTGGAAGTATTTAAAAAGATTGGAGACACTGTCGGTAAGTTATTTTCACATTCACAGTGCCTTTATTATTAATGTTCCCTTACAAATTAAGATTTCCGGGAGTGACCATCTTCAAACAAGATCCAATGTGGCTCAGTGAGTTAAGCACTGGTTCAGTAACCGGAGGGTCCCAGATTTTATCCTGGTATTGGCCGAGAAATTTCCTTGTGAATTTTCATCTTGGTTATTACCCTTTGTATGTGGTGCAGAAAAGTAGGGCATTAAATCTCATTTCATTTCGTTATTCAAAAAAAATAAAATATCTGATTCTCTATTTCCTAAACGTTTAAAATCTCACTGAAAGAGATTTATCAGTCAAAATGAGATTTCACATTCTTTATAAGTCTAATCTTACAATTTCTTTTTAAGCTCTTATTTGATTCAAAATCATTATCATTGAAAATAGAAAGGAAAATGGTTCTTAGTAGACGTATAGAAGCCTTTACGATACCCCTAAGTTTTTGTCTGCAATATCACCTCAATGGAAGCGGACGTTAAATAAAGCTATTTCACACGCACACCCTAAGTTTGGAAGTTTTACATGAAGAAGTTGAACCAATCTGAAAAATATCCAATTATGTAATCAACTGTCACATAGGGCCTTTAGACCTTGTAGAAAACAAGAGACAAACCACAAGATTTAGTAGCCAACCCAACTTGTTACATGTAGGTGGCGGATTGAACCCACTACTTGCATAGTTAACACGAAAGAATGGGTTCATACAGAAAAGTTTGTTTTTTCAAAATCTGTTTCGTAAAATATCAATATCCATGATTGTAAAGTAACACCCGCTGTGATTGGCTTCCACAAATCGTTGTAATCAATTTTGAATGATAGCAGAAGTCATTGTTCTAGGTCACATTTCAATTTACTTTCTTTCATCTTTTGATAAGATTTAGATGGTGCTGCGAACAAATTTTATTATCGATATGGTAAATTAAAACTTTGTCACGGTCATAGATTTATTTACAATGGGATGACATTGCCACGTTTCTTTATTAGGCAAGTCGATGGTTGGTGAACGGGAGGAGGGTTAGGTCGCCTGTATGCCAATAAGCATTGCATCATGGTTTTCCCTTGTCATTGCAAGAAAAACAACACTTGAGAGTAGGCTCTAGCGCTGATGTCTGAGAAAAATTCCTTCGTTGCATATGTATGGCAAATTCCTGTCGTCATCAGCCCAGTCGGCACAGAAAAGTAGGACCCCATTTCCTTTCTAATTACTTCTCTTAGATTTGAAAGTCCTGCCCTCGGAGCCAAGTGCCTCCTGTTTGAGAAACACTGATCTGGTGATTTGAGTCTGGAGGTCTTCAGTCTCCATGTACTGGTATCCTTCTTACAATCACGTTTGTCCCGTTTAAGTATAGGGTATGGCAATGAAGTGATTATTATTTAAAATCATACAGAAATAACAGGCTAACCATGGTTATTTGTGGATATTTATGGGATTCTGTTTCATATTTAACAATGTCCAGTGATTATCAGTCTGTTTGAATAAGTCAAAACTTGAAGTCTCAAACTTCCAGATGCCGAATAGACATTTGAATGAACCATTTGTATGTATAATATGAGACAGTTTGATATGACTACCTGACTTTCAGATATTGTATTCTTTGGGGAGTTGGATGGCCGAATGGTTTTGCGCGTGCATGCTGTATCACAAGGTCTGTCATTGAGTCAACTGACGGGGTTTCGATTCTCGGTTGTACGTGACAAGGAGAAGAGTCGCCTGTCCAACCTCGTGGGTTTTCTCGAGGTCCTCCATTTCCCTCCCACTGCTAAAGACCCATATGCGCAGGCAAATTATTGAAATAAAATTGAACCATATGTTAGTCCCAAAATGACCTAATCTGTGTCGAGTGGAGTTAAACCCTATTTCTCTCTCTCTCTCCCTCTCATGTTTTTAGCTGTCTCTCTGAAAAAGGTCGATGTTGAGAAATTTTCAATTCATCATATCTCGGTATACTAATCGTAATTGGACGGATATTCTTTTTAGAGATCAAACTTTCACAATATTCCAGTTTGCAAGGATACAAGGATACAAAATCCCTCAAATCTCAATCAAAGAGAAAAACAGATTTCTTTACCTAAGCGTCTGATGTCATCGACACTTTTGGATCCAATTACAAGCGGATAATTTTAAACATCTCTGTGACAACAATTCTAATTGATTTTCAACTTTATTCTCTTAGTGATCAACGTGATTTCAAAGTAAAAGTCTTGATCCGTATTAAACCTTGGGTTGACTTCGTCCAATTACACCACGATTAAATTACGTTTTAAAACAAGCAATAGACGAAGCAGATCAGAGATAGTTTGATTTATCACACAGGTAGAAATCGTTATTAAAGAGAGTTTAATAGACTACACTGGCTGTCATACTTTAAGTAACACTGCTGCCAGGGCAAAATTCTCCCCTCTCACCCTTACATTGTTATTAAAGAGAGTTTAATAAACTAGAGTGGCTGTCATACTTTAAGTAACACTAATACCTGGGCAAAATTCTCCCCTCTCCCCCCCACATCGTTGTTAAAGAGAATTTAATAGATCAAAGGGGTTATTATACTTTAAAAGTGTAAATACTGCTGCTTGGTCAAAACTCTCCCCTCTCACCCCACATCGTTGTTAAAGAGAGTTAAATAGATCAAAGGGGTTATTATACTTTATCCAACCTCGTGGGTTTTCTCCGGGTCCTCCGGTTTCCTCCCACTGCTAAAGACCCCTACGCGCAAGCGAATTATTGAAATAAAATTAAACCATATGTTAGTCCCGAAATGACCTAGTTTTGTCAAGTGGACGTTAAACCCCATTTCTCTCTCTCTCTTTATTATATTTTAAAAGGGAAAATCTAGAACTATACTTCAAGAGTAAATGTAAATTCTGCTGCTTGGTCAAAATTCTCCCCTCTCACCCTCACATCGTTGTTAAAGACAGAATTAATAGATTGTAGTAGTATACTTTGAAGGGAATATCGAGAACTGTACATCAAGAGTTAGTGTACATACTGCTGCTTGGTCAAAATTCTCCCCTCTCACCCTTACATCGTTGTTAAAGACAGAATGAATAGTTTGTAGGAGTATACTTTGAAGGGAATATCGAGAACTGTACATCAAGAGTAAGTGTACATACTGCTGCTTGGTCAAAATTCTCCCCTCTCACCCTTACATCGTTGTTAAAGACAGAATTAATCGATTGTAGTAATAGTAGTATACTTTAAAGGGAATATCAAGTTTTTTGTCTTCGTATCGCCGCTGTTCTTAAATTTGTTCAGGTAAAATTGTCTTATCCTTATACCACACTGCATATCGTATGTCCATCTTCATTAGTCCGGTTGGTTTAAAACTAAAATTACCCTGGTCAACCATTAATGATGGGCAAAACGAAGCTAATTTTGTATCTGGACATTTTTAACGAAAAACAATGACTTGTCACATTTGATTGATGAATTCATACGTGAATGATATTTATGACGACAGTTTGGATTGATCAAGACCTGTTTTCGAAGATTTAATTGCTTCATCCACTTATCGTCCATTTTAATTCCTTTACCAAATGGAAAGAAATGTTTTGACCAATTTAGACCTATCTTTACTTAGGGACTGTCAATGTGAGACAAAGGTTTATGAAGTACTTCTGGCGCCTGATGACTGACAGCCCAACTGATTTGAACTTAGTAGTGCCAACAGAAATATGTTCAATAAGGTGGGTTGTCAATGACAACAGTCAGTCAGCTGGAATATCCAGTATTGATCCTTTGAGGGAAATATTCCATCGGTTACTATGACAACCATGCTCTTATTCTGCAACATGATTTCCTCAGTAAACCCAGAATAACCAATTTAAAATAAGGGGAAAAAAATTCCACAGAATGGGATCGAATCTAGGTCTTTAGGCGAAAGTCGAGTGAAAATTGTAGATACCTCATAGCAGTGGCATTCAGGACAACAAATGGGGAGAATTTATTGATCAAAGATGGGAATTGTGGGTGGGAGTATCCATTATGCAACTGCAATTGAGTCATTGATAAAAATTTATTAGGATTATTTTCTTTTTTTCTAAAACATTTGTTTTCAAGGTCTTCTTTTCCTTCAACATTTTTTCTTTACAATCTGTTGTCTTCCAATCTCCGAAACTTCATGATCTGGGGTCATATACGTCACACTTTCTAGGCAGTGGATGTCAGAAACCTTTCTATTTCAACCCCTTGCTTATGATATGATTTATGCAAAATAAAATTAGGTCACCTCTAGCCAGCAAAGAAATAATGTTTTTATTGAGGGAGTAACCATTAAATTATGATAATTTTTAATAAAAACAAGAAGATTTCATGTTATTTTGGTAGATTGAAAGTTTTTAGATTTTAGCAAATAAATCAGCACAAGAACCATTTTCCTTTCTTATTAATCACACACCCTCTAATGTTACATTTTGATTATTTAGGTCAACCCACATTTTTCCAGTACTGTTAACTTAATAATTAAGTTATTTCATTTGTGTTCATGATTTACTTTACAATCATCATCATCATCATCTTATAACATTTGAAACATATTTCCTATTATTTATGTATGTGAAAAATGAATTTATGGTCTAAGGGGAGATAATCAACATTTAAATAGGAGTTATTTCCCTTTGACTATCAAACTTGTCCTCTATGTAAAAATGTTTTTAACTGATGTATATGTGTATATAAAAAGATAATTTGTTTAAAGAAATTTTATTGATTAATGTTTTCACATGTTAATTGAATTATTCTTGTTGATTAGTTTTTCTTTTTTTCATGTCGGCCTAGAAATTTGTCAATTCAATTTTTATTTCATTAAAGAACAATTTTTTTTAAGGCATCAAGGATTTTTTTTTTTTTTAATTGAAAGATCTGTAATTATTTACTTATATATGTCAAACAATGGACAGAAATTTTATTGTATTTTGAAAAATCTGGCATTTGTGATCAAGATGTTTAGGCCTTCTGTAAACTTCGTAACAATTTCTAGGCTTGTTGTGTATTATATGTTCCTGCAAGAAAGTTACACAAGGTTCCAGAATTAGTTTTCTCTGCTTAACTTTCATATGTGCTCTGAAATAGGATAGCTTAATGTGGGGACAGACCTCTCTTGATATTTTCTATGGATTGAAAGAAAGGTTTATTGTAATAAATGTAAAGCTTATTGACGACTCCAATGAAATTATGTTTTTGTGTTGTCTGTGTCTATGTCTCTTGTATTTTATTTTTCTTGAATGAAAGGATTTATTTTTATGAGAGAGTAAGAGAAATGTTAAAAAGAGAGAGAGACATGTTTTGTTCTCATTGTAAATGTGATGTGTTACCGTAGTTTAGAAATATTCCGTGGCGGATATATTTTTATTTTTTGATGTTATTAAAAGTCGTTAATTTCTATTTTATCACTTGATGTAGGTGGAAATCCGTGGGTCGTTAAATATGAAGGTAAAATTGCTGGCGTGTGTTTTTGAGATGGTCCCCGTTTTTTCTTTAAACATTCCAAATTATTAACCAAATTTGTTCATTCCTATCCATCAAAACCTTTTTCTGCTTATATTTTTCTAATTTGCTTGATTATTTGTTTTAATATAAACCCTTTAGCACTTTCACTGTCTGAAGCAACTGTTCCTTCTAATAAGGGACTCGATAAAGGAGGCTCGACATATTCTACAAATGGTGACACATATTCGTATCTGGAGAGCATGCGCAATAAATACTACCGGTGTAGACTGGAAAAACCAGACGCCAAAGATTGTCATTCAATTGAGACTGCTTGCATATTTCGTTGAACATGACTGATTTGAAATTAGAGTAAAAATCAGTTTATATACATTCATTTTACATTACTATATGCGTTGCGACCCATTTGTGTCAATTTCTAGGTTCCAAATATTAGCGATTTATCTCCTTTAACTTGCTAAAGGGTTTAAACATTAACTTTAAATTACTTTTTTTCCTATTAGAAATTTGATTGGTTTTGCAGTTTTTTTTTCATGATGATATTTTGCTTCTTTTTTTTCTTGGTGTACTCGTAAAAATCTAATTGTCAACTATTTGTCGTTGTTGTCTTGTTGATTCGCCACTTGTGTGTGACGAGAGTGTCGTATATATTGTCAAAATGCAAAGCAGGGGTACCTTGTGTTTATTTTTAATAATCAAATTTAGAAAAATTATTTTATTCTTAAATTGTTTTTCAATTTCTTTGTAATTTTCTATGTATATTTTTGATTATTTTTCTTAAATTCATTCACTGTTTAGTTTGTTTTTTTTTTTTTTTTTTTTTTTTTTTGAGGGGTGGTGGGGTGGGGGTGGGGTTATCATGCACAAATATTTTTGAAAATATCAGCAAAATCACTTTAAAGGGGGTAGTTAAATTTAAATATTTACTTAAAATTTAAAAAAAAATAATTTTATTCTTTAAAGGGTTTTTTTTCTCCAAATTCTTCATAATCTTTTTAAAACAAATTTTTTTAATCACTTTCACAAATATTCTTAAAAAATCTTTTTATTTATGTCATTAGATCTGCATATAATTACAGAAAATTTGAATTATTCATACATATTTTTTTTATTTTTTTTTTAAAATCAACATATTTTTTATGGGTTATTATATATTTCATAGAGTATGTAAAAAGGTTTAGGAAAAATGTTAACCAACACATTTAATTTCAACTATTTACACAAAAAAAAGAATACTATGCTTTATTTTTTTTTATACATCCACATTAAAATGTGGTCCTAGTTTATATTTCTTCAATATTTTTTTTTTTTTTTTATAGTTTTCTTCCTCTCGATTTATTTCGAACTATCCCTGCTTTGTAAAAGTTGTTTCCCTTTTGAATTAATACTGATGTAACCAAGTTATCACACCCTTATTAATTGAGATGTGCACAATCTGAAAACTAAGATTCAACCGAATGAATGCTTGTACATTACTGAATTCCCGAATTTCAGACTATGCCAAATCGTTTTTCTCAATTTTTTGAACAGATAATATGAAGGAATGTAATTCTAAGCATAACCAGAACATAGGCAGAGCCATATGGTCAGAATTGTTAATTTTTCAAGAAATCATTAGATAAAAAAAAACAATTTTTCAGCATAACATGACATAATGACTTGCAATTTCTAACTCACTTTCCCATCACACATGTCGAATAGATGCATTTACACTGAAGTCCAATGTGCAAAAAAAACCGTGACATCTGATAACAGAATTGATGAATCTTGACTGTGAATAACATTTACTTTAAAGCCATCCCAAATTTTAGCATGTTCAATATTTTGAAATAGAACTTAACAACATTTATTGCTTGCTTATGGTAATAATACATAAATTGATGTAATAAACCTTTGCTCGCTAAAAAATTATCTAACCCACTAAAACTTTTGAGCATCATGCATTTACCAATTCCACTTTATTAGATAAAACAGATTATATTTTTGCTTTATTTTTGATCAATTTATTGTTAAATTGAGATGATAAATAAGTTTTATTAAGAATTAGATTTGCTTAAAGGCAGCTGGTGAGCTACAGTGGGTTATTGAGTAAGGCAGTGGCGCACAAACCAAGAGAAAGTTGACTGGGATTTTACACCCTTATCATTGGTGCAGGACAAAACACTAGGTAGCAGTGTCCAGTTGTTCAGATGGGATGAAAAAAAGAGGTCCTGTGCACCTAAAATACCCCTTGACAGTTGGAATTCGATATACGAATAGACTGTAGGTTGCGTTGCTGTCCAGGCAAAATTTCCCTCGTAGCACACTGTATGACATATGCCCATCTTTATTAGCCAAGTTAGTGAAGCAAAGTTAAATTTCAAGATCAACAAAAGGCTGTCTTTTAAAACTTATAACTTGGTTATTCAGTAATTGATTTTCTTCAATCTTTTTTTTTAGTTTCTGATATTTCATGATTCCAATATTTGTTTTTCTCTTCAAATTATTGGATAATATCATGAAATATTTTCAGTCTTTTAACTTTTATTCATTTTAAGAATTTATTATGAAATGAATTATTCATTAGAAATTGTCAGTAATTTATGACCAACTGACTTGTCTCTGCTTTGCAAAAATTGTTTCATATCTATATGAAGGGGGATAACTCTGTTATTCTTGTCAGGGAGGAGTTATTTCCCTTTATTTGTAAATAATTGTTCACATACCATATTAGTAATATGGTTGTTTTGTTTTGTCAAATATATTTCTCTTTTTAAAGAGTAAATTGTCTTGAAATGTTTGCTAGTGCTGCAAACTTGTCAGTATGTTTGTTTATGTGTAAAGGAAATGTTTGAATAATAAATGTATAATTATTAATTTATGCACATAAATTAAAAATGTTGTACTTGCATTTGCATATGTGGTTTTGGTGTTAACATATTCACAACATTAAATTTTACAGATTTTCCTAGTGGATATCCCCGGATAGTTGTAAATCCGAGTTTAAAATCGGTAGAAAAAGGACATAATGCGTTAATGAAATGTGAAGTGGAAGGAAACCCCGAACCAACAGTTTATTGGTTGAAAGATTTTTTACCAGTTGATATGAGCGATCCTCGAATAACGCTTTTAGAATCAGGTAGGTTATCACATTCTTCAACATTGTCTCTACTATAGATAACGTCATGTATTTTGGACTGTAGTCAGTGTTTTAATGACTATCCATACAACAGTTTGAAATATTGCAAAGTTAACTAAAATGTTCAAAACATATGCCGATAAATGTTGCCAATATAAAACTCAATGAAGTGCCATGTTGACTCTCATTATGGTACTTTCTCACTAACCTGTACGTCCTGGGTTTCCCCCATGTCAACCATTCAAAACCAAGGCCCTGGCATGAAAGTGTATAATAATAATAATAATAATGTTTTATTCAGTAAACAGGTCATCGACCCAAAGTTACAAGGTTGTAAATATATAAATAATAAATATATACATGTATACAAATATATCAAACAGGTCATTAAATAAATAAATTAGCTGCTATAATGAACATTTTAAAAAGTGTTAATTTATTTACAATAAACAGTTTAATTCATAATTTGATGATTTCTAATCTTTATGGCTGCATTTATAAAATTTGACAAAGATAATAAAAATTCTCTATCTTTATATGTACACAATTTATAAAAATAATTAATATCGGAAGAGTCTACAAAATCTAAATATTTAACACGAGTGTCTTGTAATAATTTACATTTACATATGAAATGAAAAGAATCTTCTGGTTCTAATTCACATAATGGACACAAATTTGTTTTACTTAATTTTCTTCTAAACATATTTACATATAATGGCAATAAGTTTAAACGTAACAGAGTGATATTTCTTTTGGCTACTTTTGGAATATGTACAGACAAGTATTGTTCTGGAATTAAATTAAGCTTGAAACATTTATATTCTGATAGACTACTGCTCTCGTTTAGTTTCGATGACCATTCCTGTGCGTTAATATCAGTTAATCGTTGTTTTAATAATGTCATAAATAATCGTTTGTCTCCAACATTTTGGTTAAACCATACATAGCCGAATCCCAAAGAACAAAGCACATGTTTTACTTTGGTCGCCCATGTTTCCCTTCCAGCACTATCTAAATTACACAACATTATATATACTTGCTTAGGGTATCTATCTGAGGTCATATTTAATAATTTGACCCAATATTTAATACAATTTGAAATATAAGATACCGATAAACCATAGCGGCCACATTCTCCCAGTGATCCTACGGTTGTGCCAGATTTGTGTACGCCTAAAATGTATTTACAATATGCACTATGAACTTTCTCAATATCTTCTCTGTATTCGAAGCCCCATACTTGTGACCCATACAACAATACCGGCTTGATAATTACATCAAATATTTTGAAAGCATGATCTAGGGATATACAGTCGACAGTTCTAAGAAGACATTTTACGGGTATAAGAGCTTTATCAGCTTTGACACTTAAACTATACAAAGGTTTACTCCAACATAATCGCGACGAAAATAATATACCTAAATAATTGTAATAAGAAACAACTTCTAATTTTACATTATTATAATAAAACACTTCGATATTCTTAGTAATACCACCATTTCTAAAAATTACAATCTTTGTCTTTGAAAGGTTTACATTTAAATTAAAATTAGTACAAAATTTATACAAAATATTTAGTTTTCTTTGTAAATCACCAACCGAGTCTGATAATATGCTAAGATCATCTGCATATAATAACATAATTATATCGTTTGCTTCTTGCGTAGTGAACAACCCTCTTACATCACTAGCTTCCATCATTTCTACGAGTTGATTGACATAAAAACAAAATAGAAGAGGACTTAATATGCATCCTTGTTTAACGCCTGATAAACAGTCAAAATAGGGGGTTATGTTGGATGCTACTTTTACACTTGATAATACATTGGAGTACATGCTTTTTAATGCTAAATACATCTTACCATTCACACCTTTTGTTAGCATTAATGCTAATAGTTTCTTTCGATTCAATGAGTCAAAAGCACGAGAAAAGTCTACAAATAAAGAATACATTCTCCCCTTTGATTTTGTGAGATATTTTTGAATAAGACCATGTAAAGTAAAAATATTATCGACAGTAGAGTACCCTTTCCTAAAGCCTGCTTGTGCTTCACAATACTTATTTTCGACACAACACCAATTTTGTAATCTATTATTGAGCACAGCACAGTATATTTTACCGATACAATCAGTCAGAGATATGCCTCTGTAGTTTGATGGGTCATGTTTTGTTCCTTTCTTGTGCAGAGGTGTGATTAGGCTCCTTGACCACGAGTTTGGAAATCTGCCTTCATCAAATAGGGTATTATACAAAGTTGTGAGAACTGGGCCTATTAGTTCTACACATGACTTATAGAAATCAATTCCTAGACCGTCTGGACCAGGTGTAGTACCTGCTTTCATATTGTCTATACATTTCTTAATTTCATAATATGTTATAGGTTCATTTAAAATATTACTAGACTCACTAATTGTAATATTAATATTAATATTATCTACTCTCTGTGAATCAGTTATTGGATTTAGCAGTGTTTCAAAGTAGTTCACCCATTGACTTGGGGTTATTCTGTCAGATACCGAAACCTTTTGACGAAAACCTTTTACAGTCTGCCAAAACTTACTTGGATCATTTAAATTTTGAAGTAACTGATTACAGACATGTCGATTATATTCTATTTTTTTAAAACTACACAATTCTTTGAATTTATTTTTGCATGTATTAAATAGTTTCAAATCAATAACAGAATTACTAAGTCTAAATTTATCTAATGCGCAGTACTTACTATTCTTGCTATTTACACAGTCGGAGTCAAACCATGGCGGTTGCTCCTCTGTTTTAAAATGATATGACCTTTTCCTGCTGTTCATTGATTTTGCACAAGATTTAATAAAGTTCGTTACACATTCTATAGCCAGGTCCACCTCCGTTAACAGTAAATGTTTGAATTCAAAATTAAAATTATCAAAGTTCGTATTTATCTCCATAGCGAATTCGTCCTTTTTACTGGGCTTCCATACATATTTGTTGTAGGGGGTTGTCTGTATATTTGTGCTTTCGGTTAAGAAACCTTCTACATGGCATTGAATATGGAATTCTAAGGGCAGATGATCCGATTCGTCTTTACATTGAACATAAAAATAGTCAATAAGATTGAACATTTCAGTGGAAGTAATGACATAGTCTACAACACTAGAACCATTATGTTTTATACAAGTCATTGCACCAAACTTATCACGATCACTCCTCCCATTTAGCATATGAACATTGAATACAGCACACATGCGTATTAATTTAAGTCCAAATTTGTTAACTTCATTATCCTGCGAATTTCTTGGAATGTCAAAACCGTCAGTATTGTATTCAGCATCTTCGAGACCCGGTAAATATTCTATGTTATCATCTAATATATAATCTTTCAGCTGGCCACATCTGGAATTGAAGTCCCCAGCCAATATAAAATTTACATCAGGATATTCACTTTCAACTTCAACTAAGTTTTCTTCAAATTGTTCAAACAGGCAGCCATTCGTGTGTACTTTACTCCCTTCAGGTGCAATATAAACAAAACAGAACACTGCATCCTTTTCCCAACCAAAGTAGGCAGCATTAAATTTCAAAAGTATAGTTTCTGTATAACAACTCTTTATTCTAACAATACCAGCTGCTATTGTTTCTCGGAAGTACACGACTAACCCACCCCTTTCTTTACCATTTCCTCGAATACATACTTCATATTTATAATCTGTAAGAACTTCATCATATTTAAAGTCATCTCCACACCATGTCTCTATTAAACATATAACATCAAATTGGCTCAAATAATGTTTAAAATCGCCAAATTTACATTTACTCTTTAGTCCATTTACGTTCCAACAGACACAGTGTATAGTGGTTTATTGATGTGCATGTAAAAGGACCCATGACAGTTGAAATTCAAACACTGCTATCCTATCAAAATTCTGGGGGTTTGGGCGGCCAAATGGTTATCTTATGCAGCTTGTATCATAAGGTCTGTCATTGGCGTGGTTTCGAATCCCCGGTTGTACGTGACAAGGAGTAGAGTTGCCTGTCCAACCTTGTGTGCTTTCTCCAGTTCCTCCAGTTTCCTCCCACTGCTAAAGACCCCTACGTGCAAGCGAATTATTGAAATAATAATTGAACGTATATTAGTCCTGAAATGACCTAGTTTGTGTCGAGTGGATATTAAACCCCATTTCTCTCCCTCTCTCTCTCTCTCTCCCTCTCCAGTAGGAACAGAAAAGTTAAACCCCATTTAATTTATTTATTACAGGATATCTACAGATTAAAATGAGTCAAGAATCAGACGCAGGGAAATATGAATGTGTAGCGGAGAATGATGTAGGCGTGGCGTATTCCTACGCAGCAATGTTATATGTTAAAGGTAAGCTTATTTTACTTGTCGTTCCGACAAAATTGGGGTGGTTGTGCGATTAGGAAATTTGACTTGACTTCCAGAATGTTCCAGGTTGGTATTTCTAAGCACTGTTCTCACTTTCACAGGGGTGTCACCTGCATGGATGACAAGGAAAATGATCTTAAATTGGTTGTACATGTAAAAGGAGTCTTGGAAAAAAACTTCTGTCCAAGCCAAATTCCCCCACTTGCATCACACTAGAAATTACTATGTTGCCAGATTGCATTCTTTTTTTGTCGAATACCAGTCTACAATACACACTATAACAATAGTTATATACACCGCAATAAATATAATTTCAGTCATGGAGACAAGAAATTCATTATTACCATGATCAAAAAGCTACCGAATTCCATTTTGATGTTAAAGGAGTTCACTAATTCCATTAACTATAGATCAAATAGTAATGTGTTTAACCCTTTATAGCTTGAGCCGTCTTCGACTAATGCTATTTAGACTGCCCAAACTGCCGGAGTAGTCTCCTCTCAAGAAACTAGTGAACGGTTCTTCAGTACAGAGAGGTTTTAAATAGCTCTGCGCTTTGTGGCAGTCTAGGTAGTAGTACTTTGGGTCAGTTTCAGGCTCTCCAGAGATATACCTTCAAGGAACTGGGATTGTCAATATTTACAAGTGCCACGGACAAAGGGTTAATGCTCTTTTTATTTCTGTAATATATGTAACCTACAAGTAAAAACATGGAACTCTATAAGAGCAATGAAATTCCAATGGTCTCGCAAGTACAGTAACCGACAGTACCCATATCACTGATGATGTTACTGTAAGAATGTGTTTGATAAAGACGTTATTGACCCTGTGACCTTTTGTTATAACCTTATAGACCAGTGATGTTATAAACAATAGTACTAGACACAATAGGTAGGATAACAAACATGATAATTGACATTAATCAATGTAATATATTCACATGTGGTTATAATACACTTGTACTCGCAACATGGAACATGAAAACAACCTTTTATGTCAAGGAAATAGAGTGCTGACCTGAAACGATGATGCTTAAGTCCTCAGTGAGTAAGGCTCTGGCTGGCGTACCAGGGGATCCCGGTGGTGGCTGAAAAAGTTCCCTAAGTATGGTTTCCTTCCCCTTGCCGAAGTTGCTGTGACAGGTAGAATTTGAAACTGTCGAGCCGCTCTCCTGGTAAAATTCCCCTCATAGCACACGGCATGGTGTATTCCGTCTTTATTAGCCTGGTTAGTGCAGGAAAGTAGGACACTAAACCCTCATTTCATTTCCAAGACATTTGCTATTCAATAAATTAGATAAGAGTATGTTACCAGTTTTAGATGTGTGGACTTCTCAGATATTATGGATGGTCAGGACATGTTTCGCAACCTCGGAGGACCCTGGTTTAGTCATGTAAAATTGTATTCATTTCACTGAAACCAACTTCTGCTGTGAACCTGAAGGTCTACAAAAAATGTTCCCAAATGGACCCCCACAGTTCCTTGGGTTGAATCTTTTGATGAGGGTCAACATTATTCATAACTACTTGTACTTCACATTCAGGCACCATGTACAGAAATTCCCAGTCAGCTCAGAATCATTTTATAGCATGAAACCTATTCTTTATGATCAGTCTGTGTCAGTTGTTCCGATATTCTCATATTCATAAAAAAAATACCACGCAAATGATAAGACTTACTGATTTTCAGTTATAAGGTATCCTTTTACCATTCTGGACATTCTCAAGACTCTTTTAGTAGAATTACTACTTCTTATGAATTCTTACAGTATGTCTTCTATCAGAGCCATACCAATTTATGGCTTGCAAATTTCTATTAGGAATTTAGAGTTCACCCCCCAAAAAATATATGCTGATCCTGATCATGCATTTTTGACATCTTAATTCACACTATATTGTACTCAAATGGATTATTATATTCTATTAGAGTTATTCCAAAACTATACCTGTTCCAAATTTCTGTTGATTTTTTGACATAGCACCGTGTAATCTTCATTAGTCTGTTCGGTGGAGAAAAGCAGGACGTAAAGTAGATTTTGCTGGTGTTAGAATTTGAAAATAGCATCTGATGATGATAAATATATCTGCTTTAATCTTCAGTGTTTCCTACCACTGCTAAAGACCCCCTACGAGCACGCAAATATTGAATAAAATTGAACTATATGTTAGTCCCGAAATGACCTAGTTTGTGTCGAGTGGATGTTAAATCCCATTTTTCTCTCTCTCTATCCCTGCAATTAACAAAAGTCTATCACACATAACATCTAATTATGAAAATATAATTAAAATATGAACAGTAGATGATCTCTTGACTTTGATTCAATTGGATTAAAAAGATTCCTGTGAAATAGATTTTTGCCGATGTTAGAATGTGAAATAGCCTGTGTTTCTTCAGTCTGTAATTGGCAAAGCAGTTTTCCTGCAGTAGTCTATCAGACATTACAGCGGTATGCACATTCCAATATCTGGTATGAAAGAATGTATAATATGATCTGTTTTTGTCGAGGTTAGAATGTAAAATGGAGTCAGCCATCTTGAATATACCTGTTTTCTTTCACCTGTGTTTTTATTGTCTTTGATGTTTTTCTCCGAGTGTGAACAGACAGCTGGTGATAACGAGCAGAAGGAGAAAAAAAACCTGTTGAAGCCAACAATGCACTCATGATCATCTCTCTGTTTCTGTGAATACAAAGATGGAACCTATGTGGTATTTTCTAGTTGTTTGCGTCGAAGAGAAGGCTAACATGTTGCTGTCCAGGCAAAATTTCCCTCATAATCATAACACAATATATGGCATATGCCTTTGTTAAACAGTCGGGTTAGTGCAGAGCAATAGGACGTTGAAACCTATTTCATTTCATATTAATTAAAAATTACTGCAGTACACATAAATAATCACACAAGATTTAAAAAAAAAAAAAAATCTGAAACTTTGAGAGATCCCTGTGGATTTTGCGGCCCTAAGCTGTACTTTGTTTAGATTGTTCCTTTGGATCAGCGAGGCGCTGTATCATACGGTCTGCCATTGAGTCAACTGGCAGGGTTTTGATTCCCCGGTTGTACGTGGCAAGGAGTAGGGTCGCCTGTCCAACCTCGTGGGTTTTCTCCGGGTCCTCCGGTTTTCTCCCACTGCTAAAGACCCCTACACTCAAGCGAATTATTGAAATAAAATTGAACCATGTGTTAGTCCCGAAATGACCTAGTTTGTGTGGAGTGAACGTTAAACCCCATTTCTCTCTCTCTCTCTCTCTCTCTCCCCCCCCCCCCCCCCCGTTGGACCATACAGATAGGGAGACATGTGTTGTGTAATTTTAAACCAATCAGTGCTCAAATAGCCAGATAATTAAATCACTGAGAATGTAATAAATGATAATACAAACGATGTCTGGTGACTGATCGTAAACAAATCTCCTCTCAACAACATTCTCATCAACTCACAACAATTACCTTGTCTCATCCTCTCGCAGCTCTTTAACTTAGTGAGATAGAAATCTTCATACAGGTAGTAGCCATGTAAGACCAGACTCTTGGACATTGTATACTTGTGTTACCACATGCCAAGGGACTGGTTAAACTAGACTAACAGGTAGAATGTTATTGTTTGTTGTCCAGTTACAGGTGAGGAATGCAACTTGACGTTTTTTAGCGAGATGTTTATAGTTAATGAATAAGACAGATTGGTTGCGATGTTGTTAATTTATTGGTCAGATTTACATTGGACGTTCATATTTCTTCACCTTGTATTTGCTGACTATCACTGTTTTAGGTGATGAAACTCCAGTCGGTGTTAGAATCTGGCGCAGGGATTGGGTGAGGGGTCGATCACAGATATGGGTTTCCTCTCATTTGAAAAAAATCCTGCTTGCAACTTAATTCATGAAATAAAATGTATGCCACATGTTAGTCTGAAATGACCTACTTTGTGTGAGTGGATGATCACTTAAACCCATATCTCTCACCATTTTTGATGCAAAATGGTTCCGTATTTAAATCTGGCACATAGATTGGTTGATTGGTCAATCATGGGGTTTACTCTCACTTCTGATAGTAATTGCAGGAGGACTGCACCACACACAATCAAACCCATATGAAACAGCCGTGGACAAGGCATACAATATACAAACATTTCAAACAATAAACAACAGAAGTATATATCAAATCAAGTGAATGGATCATACGAAAAAATTACTGAATAGGATAAAAAAATATGCCATATGTTAGCATGACCCTACTTTGTGTTGCCTGACATGAAACCGGTGGAGGCTCTTTTGTGTGCCCCGTGTTCAGGGGGTTAAATTCATTACACAAAATCTGAATAGAAGATTTAAGTTTCTACCTACTCTTATCTTTAAAGTCAACTGGCTTGGTTTCGATTCACCGGTTGTACGTGACAAGGAGTAGGGTCACCTGTCCAACCTGGTAGGTTTTCTCCGGGTTCTCTGGTTTCCTCCCACTGCTAAAGACTCCTACGCTTAAGCAGATTTCTGTGTTAGTCCCAAAATAACCCATTTCTCCTTCCCTTCCTCTCTCTCTCTCTCTCTCTCTCTCTCTCTCCCTTTAAACTTATGATATGGGTTATCTACCTGTGTGTTATATAGTGATTGGTCCAGTTGAGAAGAGATAAAGGTGGTAGTTAGAATGTTGATAAATGTTGATTACAAGGAATCTTGTCCATTTGTTGAATGTTGACAGGTAGAAACTTGTTGAAATCAGTTCCGTTGGTTGGGATATTACTTTAGTTTGTAGCCCTAAAATGTTATCCTTTACTTCAATGGTAATTTATTTCTATGGACAAGCATCGTGGTCAAGATGCTACCTAACCTGTTTTTTAGGTTATAATCAATTATCTAGTTTACTGTCTAAAAACAATTGAAGTCTGTATTTTTGTTAGATTTGAATAACAGGACCTGGAATTAGTATTAAACTGGTGTGAATAAACACGTCTGGTAAATATTTGTGAATGCCGCCCAAATGAAATGGGCT